TGAAATTTCCTAGGCATGTATAGAAACACGAATCAAAGGGAAAGAGATAGAAGAAGAACTTGCCTTAAACTTTCGGATTGAAAGTTAAACTTCTTCTTCCTTGATCTTCTCTCTAAAGGGTTTTCTCCTTCTTCCTTCCTCTTTCTCCTTCTCTCTCTAACTCTCTCTCTCTAGAATATATAACGTGATATATTTTCACTCCTTTTTCAACCTATAGTTGTGTATTTATAGGCTAAATAATAACCCTATTCCTTTTCCCAATCCAAGTCAACTTAATAAAGAAAAATAAAAATGAAAATATTAAAAAGGTAACTTAAAATATGTTACGTATATAATCTATGTATATCCTTATTAATTAAATAAAATATATACATTAGATTATTTATTAATACTAAAGTTACCATAATATTAAAAGGTAACTTAAAACATGTTACGTATCCTTATTATATAAATATATAAAATATATACATCAGATTATTTATTAATACTAAAGTTACTATAATATTAATAAATTATTTTCCTTTTTATATATATGTATATACATATACATATATATATATATATACACATATAGAATTATCCTTGGGTAATTATCTATACCCATCCAACCTCCTATCCAAGTAGTCCATGGGACCCAATTAATTAGCCCATTACCACTAACCATAACCATAAAATAAAATAAAATAAAACATTTAATCATTTAATTTACAATTAATTACAATTATGTATATATATATACACATATAGAACTATCCTTGGGTAATTATCCATACCCATCCAACCTCCTATCCAAGTAGTCCATGGGACCCAATTAATTAGCCCATTACCACTAACCATAACCATAAAATAAAATAAAATAAAACATTTAATCATTTAATTTACAATTAATTACAATTAATCAAATACATCATTTAAGCACACAATCTAATTAAACAAATAATACAAATAACACCTAGACAACATACAAATAACACATAAATAAGTAGCCAATTAATCAAGTAACACTTAATTCAATTAAACACATAAATAATTAGTCAAATAATCAATTAAACAATTAAAAAAATACAATAAAAATAAATAAATAAATACCGAGACTATCCTTTTAAAATTAGGGGTATTACAATGAACATGTTTGACATTACATGAAACAGGTTGCATGGGTCATTCATCATCATTTTTGTTGTGACTTATGATTGAAGATGTGTAAAATAGGTTGTGTTTGGATTGACCCATGTTATCAAATATCTTTCTCACACGACATGAACCTAATTCTTTATTATATTGTTGATCCTAATTCTTTATTGGTTATTAGTTTGTGTTGGAACTCCAATACAATTACGGCATCTGCACATTTTGCTGATGTGCGCAAGTTGACTTTAGGAAGGTGTTTTGTTGAGTGCAAATGGAAGTTGTAGTGTGTAGCAAGGAATTCACATTGTTAAATCTATGCTTCCCCACAAGAGTTTGAATATCTCAGGCGACATTATTGAACATTTTAGGTTTAACCCGCACGGGTGGCCCCGTGGTTAAGGGGTCTCTTAGGCTGAATCATAAATTCGGAAGTCCTAGGTTTAACTCTCATAGGGCACAAAATTATATGGGATTAAATGGTGTGTAGTTTGCAGGTCGCTCCACATATCTGAGGTATTCCTTGCAGCCACATGTACCAAAGGTCACCAGATTGGAAAGGTCCCCATTTCCAAAGAAATAAAAAAGGAATTTTTGTTGATAAATCTAGGCTGCCATAGATATGAATTGAGATTTCAATAGTCAAAACTACTGGGTTAACCATTTGGTAGCTGATCAAAATATGAGTCTTTGCAAGCCCAGCTCAAGGGCTTATTTCATAATTACTTTAAGTTGCTATTTAGTGCCTTGTATTTTTTTGGTTCAATTATTTTAAAAAGTGATATAATTTGGGCCTAGGCTGGACATGGCCGTCAAAATAATTTAGTTTAAATGGGCCTAGTTGTATTAGTCTTTTTAGTAGGTGTAAATAAGTATCACAAAATGGAGGTTTGAGGATTCTAATTTTAGGATTTGTGTCCTAGTAGAAGACAGCAAGCAGCATGTGTGTATTTTGAATTTAAAGGAGTCTGATTTCAGGGTATGTTTGGCAGCACCGTTTTGAGGCTTTGGGATTGGAATTTGGAGCTCCAATCCCAAATCTGTTGTTTGGATGCTCCTAACTAAAGATGGATTTGGAATTGAATTATAATCCTAAATATCCCAATTACACAATTTGAATCCTACGGTCTGACCAGAGATTTGGAACACCAAATCAACGTGGGATTGGTCTATCTGTAGAAACGTCCCATTCTTACTCCATGCTTCTCTCGCTCTCCTCTGTGCCCTCTCCACTGAACCTGTTGCGGCGGCACCACTCCCACCATCCTTGTAACCGCCCGCCACCAGCCCCACCATCTCCACCCCCATAACCGCTACCACATCTTCATATCCTTGAGCTACGTTTTCGTGGAACGCACACCCATAACGGTGCCGATCTGTTGAGATACCACCACCAGCATTGCTGCCATTGATCATGTACTGCTCCACCACCTCGCGGAGGCCAAGATGGAGTCTACTGCCGCCGTAAGAGTCTTCAACTCCCTCGCCTTCTTCCCTATGCCACCCAACGCTGCCTCCGCCCCTTGCGTTTGTCCTTTGCCTAGACTCCTCCGTCATTTGCATGAATGTCCTCACTTGCAGATTCAATGTGGGTTGTTTTTGTCTTATCGTACCAATGAAATAGGACATTAGCTTTCCTATATATATTTATATATATATATATATATCCCTATGTATTTATATATGTGTGTGTGTGTGTGTGTATTTTAGTTTTATATTAATATGTATGGGTACTGTGTGCTTATATATCACAATATATATATGTAGTTATGTACATATAATTTTATGTACATATGTTTACACGCACTGTGTACACTAAAATTATTTTTAATTCAATTTCAAATCCACAATCTATCCAAACAGTAAAATTAGAATTGGAATTTAATTGCGCTTGAATTCCAAAGCTTATCCAAACATTGTATTTAGGATTGGATTGGTTGGATTGCAATATCATGAAATTGGAAATTCCAATGCAATTCCAATTCAATTCTAATTCGGTGTCATCAAACACAGCCTCAGTGTATTTTCCACCATCCTTGAAACTTTTGAAGGAATGTTATACTGTCTTGACCTGCAAACTTAAGGCCCTTTTGTGTTATGAGATCATATTGAAGTAATGGGAAATTACAAAGAATATATTGTTTGTTGTGAAATTGAAAAATTGACAATAAAATTATGATGGAAAGGGGCTGGCAACTAGTTGATGAAAGAAGGATAAAGAAGTTGCGATTTCCAGCTTTTCACATTCTAGCCGACTCACTTCTATCAGGATTAACCTTAAGGACATCCGATATGTGATACCCATTGATGACATGGAGTTGGGGTCTTCTGTCTATCACTTGAAGCCACCGTTTTCAGTTGTTTTCCCTGTGACTTCTCCCTAGAACCCAGTCATATCGGTCTCTGTTTGCTCTAAAAAGTTATCTCTCTGCACAAATACAAACAATTGCATTTCTTTTACTCATTATAACTTGCATCATGAGAGAGAGATTAATAGTCAGCCTGCTGGTTATTTGTCTAATTATTATTAATTTTTATTCATTTATTCCCTTTAATTGGGAAACAATTCAAGATTCAATCTAGTAAGAAAACCTTGGATTTGTAGAAAATGGTAGTTATGGCCATAAGGGTTCATCTTGATTTATTCTATGCTCTGATTATAAGATTTGCGTAGATTGTGTTTCTATTTTTGAAATGCACTCTTGTTATGCTTGGCGCCGCCGAATTGGCACCTTGATTGGAGAAAATTTAGTACAACTTTTGAACTAAACTTTTTCTAATCCAAAATCCAAGGCACTGATTCGGTGCTGCCAAACATAACATCTGGGTATTTGGCAGCACCGTATTGAAGTTTTGAAATTGGAATTGGATGCTACAATTCCAAATCCAGTGTTTGGGTGTTATAAACCAAATCCTGAAATTGAGCCTCTTTAATTCTATTCGCATATGTAAAATTCTTTGCAGACCCTTTTAGATTTTTAGGATGCAATTAGGTACCCAATATGAACATAAGAATGCCTCCTTGTTGAGGATTTGGAAGAATCAGAGACTACTCCTCCACTATGAACAAATGAATTCTGATAAATACTTTAAGTTGAACGTCACATAAATTGATATGCTGATAATGTTGGTCTCTGTTGCAAATTAGGGCCTCGTGTTTGTTCAAGACTACAAAACAATTGCTGCTCTCTCTCTTTCTCACACACACACACACACACACACACACACACTCACTCATAAACACACAGAAAGAGAGACAGAATGCTTGAGGAGGTTTGGCATTATATTTCAGTTTTTGTAGCTAACTGATAATACAATAATTAAGTAAAAGTGCAAGTGGCGAGTGTTAATGCTTATAAATTTGGTTAAATTTGCATGATAATTTCGAATCTCACACGCTTGAATAAAATGTGAAAATTTGTTGGCATGCCTACTGCATGTGGTTCTTGGGACTTTCACACTGTTCAATGAGCGAAGAAAACTGTTGTTTTCTTGAGAAGATAGGGGCACTGGGTAAAAAGATAAATGGGGAGTAATTTAGAGATCAAGTATTCTTGAGCATGGGGTTAAAGACAATTTCAAGGCTTGGGTAGAGTAGTTGGTTCTAGCTTCTAGGTTTTGTATATTCTCTACAACTGTAATTCCTGTTCATATTAGTTATCTATTCTCATAGATGCAGGCTACAATAGAGGACCATGTGAAATTTATTATTTCTCTTGTGTGTGCATTAATTTGTTATATTTATGATTGGATCTCAATAAGAGTACACTTACACGCCCAACAATTGTGCATTTTAGAGGAAACCATTCTGTAACAAAAATGATTTCCTAGCCTCTGAAACCAAAACTCCTTTTCCATGCTCTCTTTCTCAGCTTGTCCACAAGATCTCGTCCGATCATTCCTCAATTAAATGAGCATTCGCGCAGAGAATAAGCTTCTGAAGGTACATCTTCCTGTTAGCAATAAGCAATAGACTAAAAGGACTTGAACTTTAAGTCCATATTTTTAAGTAGTTTAAATAAAGTTTTAGGTACACTTGAAGATTTATTGGTTAAGAATCATATGGTATTTTCTTTTTAAAAAAGGCGAACTTTGTACATTTCCCTAGCCTGCGAAGTACAGGCATGTGAATTTTTCAGTTTATTTAATAAAACTGGGTTTTTCCATTTCCCTAGTGCAAGACAATTTTTTGCCTATTTGGGAACATAACAGACTTCATAGAACTGGCCAGGCAAGTCAAGCATGAATGGGAGAGAGAGATTATCAATGTCACCCACTAGTGCTGCAAAAACTAAATTTTAAGTCTAGCAATTGGCTTGTCTTCACCCTGTGTGGGCAGGACCAGCCTCAATTATCCAAATCTATTTTTTCCTGATAAAATCTTTATTATTTTTTTTTCCTCCCCGTTCCACTGGCAATTCATGCTCGATAAAATTTGTGTTTTTTTATTTTTTATTTTAAATTCTTTTACTGGTAGATAAATTGCATGGAGTGTCTTTCTGCACGCTTTTCAGTTTTGATGCTAATTCGAGGGTAGTTTATGCATGAAAAAAATGGTAACCTGTAATAATTCAATATGACTTTAATTTTTGTACTGCTACTTTTATCCATTGTGCTTACCTCAGATGCATTCAAAATCTGGTATATTTGTCATCACCTCATCAGTGCTTTTGCGCATCTTCAATATCTGATTTCTCTGACACAGATCAAATACTAAATGTTGTATTCTTTTTGCAGCTAAAAGAATGAATGAGTTGAGATACCGACTGTACCCGATTAAATCATGAAGAGAGTGCTGGCTCTCTTCTTCTAGGCTGCTGTTGCGGATATGGTTTTACTTTTATTTTGTTTCATTTTGATGTGATTGGTTGCTAGCTCATGTTGGTTGCTATGGGTGTTCTTTTGTTTCATTTTGATGTATTTTTCTCTTACGAGTCCCGGACCCTATTTAGGACACTTGTAGCCGGGTGTATAATTGCATTTAAGGGTTTGGAGTGTACAAGAGAAACACGAGGGACTTTGGGAGAGTGAGAAAAAGAGTTTAGGGTTTGAAGGTTGAAACTTGTAATTTCTTGATTTTTGCATAATAAAATTTTTTTGTCATATCTTTGTGGTAAACCATGTAAATCTGTATTTTATTTGTGTATAAACCTATTAAAGTTAATGTTTGATAATAACGGTAGACGTAAGATGGACTAACAAATGGCAAACTCCTTCATTAGGTTTTCTATTGGTGGGTCCATTCCAACTACTGTACTAATGGATGTCAGCTGTCTTTTTAATATTTCAAAACTTTGTTTTAATTGTTTCTGCTAAAAATAGGTCGCGGAAATGCATCAAATGATCTGGTAAATTAAGAATTTTTTCTTGACAAATTGTGTGGTCAATTAAAATACAAACTCTAGATATACTTTTGCAAATATTTTCGTTCTATATTTGTAAATATTATTTTATAAATAGATTAGTAAAATATCCGTGCGATGCACATGAGTGAAAATATGTATATAAATGTAAAGCAAAAAAAAATGTAGAGGATAAAAAGTTAAATATATAGAAGAATAATTTTGCATCATTATATATTTGTTTTTATAATTTTTGTTTTATTTTTCAAATTATAAAATAGTAGTGTCCTATAATTTCGTTTATAAATTTTCATCCTAATCAAATATAATTGATAATTACATAAAATAGATATAATTACGAAATTCACATTATTCGGTGATCCATATTGTAACAATGCACATTCATTTCTCCAACCAAGACTTCCATCACAGCTCATGATGCAACTCCTTTCGTTTTTTTTTTTTTTTTTTAAATGTTATCTCTCCATTAATTTAAGGTGATCAACCAACCGCCCAAAACGTATGAAAACATGGATTGGGAGTCATTTTATTATGATTTTTTTTTTCATGGAAAGAAAAACACTTATACTCCTACTTTTTGCTCCTATAAAGATTTTAACCCACAATCTTCTATTTTAATAGGTGAGGAGGAGGTACCACTAAGTCACAAGAGACTTGGTCTATTATAAAAATGAATAACACGAGAGTCCGACACATCAATTATTATTATTTTATTATTATATGAATGGTAGATGTTGTCATCCTGACTCACGTAAAAATAGTGAAATTCGTTAATTTTTGAAATTTATATCATATCTCAATCTTTATCTAAATAATGGTTGAATTCATACACACACACACACCCATGAATACAAATACGAGACACAAATACGACACATTACGGATACAACAAATCTTATCTTAGGAAATAAGAATATGTTATCTTATCCAAATAATGGTTAAATGCATACATACATACACACACCTATAAATCACGGATGCGGACAATATGCCACAATAAGAACACGACAATGGTATAAATTTTAAAATATAGGATACAGATGTAGTCTGAATATGTCCAATATAAAAAATATATATTATATATAATAATTTTTTTTTCTCATTTTATTTAAACAATCGAAATCAAATCATTAATTTGGAGCTTAAATGTTTGTTATTTGTTTTTTAATTTTTATATTATTATTTTTAATTAATTAATAATATATTTTAAATTGCATTGAATCTCATTTTTCTAAATTTTTTTTTTTATAAAACTATCCCACCATATTCTGAAAGTGTCCAAAACGTGTCATTGCCGTGTCTAAAAAAAATAAAATATTTAAATTTCAAGAGATCATTAGCCATATTCAACAATGATCGATGTGTCAAAGTTTCAGGTATCACCACGACAACCCTTTCTTTCTAAATACGCACTCATCCATATAAACATAAATGAGTTTTGATAATATATATATATATATATATATATATATATATATATATGCACGCTAATAAAAAAAACTCATGCGATAAATGTAATTAAAAGTTAAAATAGTCATTGTGCCTATTTATTCATTTAAATTTCACAAAGCTATAGCTATATAGAGAGGGGGAGATGGAAAATAAAAAATAAAAATTATGTGCACAAATTTTAGATTCTCAATTCTCTAAATTATACGGGTATGGTTAAGTTGTAAGGAAAGTTTTTTTTTTTTATGATTGAAGGAGAATTAAAAGTATAAGATAAAATTTAGATGGTATGGAGAATAAATTATTATTTTTTTATTGGTGATGGTAACGACTCTAAGGGAAGTTCCATCTTCTTCGGTCATCAAGCCCACAATCATCTCTCCAGTTAGTCAACCATAATTCTCTCCTCTTGATTTAAGCTCCACTGAGTATACACAAAAATAAAAAATAAAATAGAATAATAATAAATAATAATAATAATAATAATATTTTTTTCCTTCCCCTTTTCAATGGGAGCTGAGACTTACGGCTGCAACTCGGACGAGTTGGGCAAGTTTGAGGTATAACTTGAGCCCAACCCACCATATAAAATGCTAAATTTAAGCCCAATTCATCTTTTTACTTTTAAATTCGGGCTTACAATTTAGGCTTAAATTTCATATTAAAAAACTTTGGGTTAATTCGGGTTACTCATATGACTAATCTTCATACCGAAAATTTAATATGATAATGAATTAGTTTTATATTAAATTACACTTAAACAAGAAAAAGTTCAAAGACTTTTTGTAGATTTTTAATAAATTACAAACAAATTATTAAAAAATTAAGTCTCCTAAATGTTAATATACAATAAGTTAAGATTTAACAAATAAAATTGAAAAGAAAAAAAATAATCATAGTTTAAATATTATATATAATGTATTTTAAAGTAAAAATATATATGAAAATTATATTAAAATTCGGGTTTGGGTTGGCTCGGATTGCTAACACTTCAACCCAAGCCCAACCCTAATTTAATTCGGGTTGAGATTTTTCATCCCAAGCCTAACCCTAATTTTAAAAATAATTGTCTAAGCCTGAAAAAAATCGAGTTGGACTCAGGTTGAGTTCGGATTTTCCAACCCAAGTTGCACACCTGCACTCTTTGATACTCTACTTTCCTCCACTCCTATTGTGTCCTCATACACTTCCATGGATACCACCACCTCATTGATCACCATTAATGCCACTGCTCAATTACTGAAAAAAAAAAAAAAAAAGGAAAAAGTAAAAAAAAAAAACGAAAGAAGTAGGAGTATCCGTCTTGGCGTGCCCAGTTCAATGACTTTTTCTTGTGGTATGATCTCATGGGGCATGTTGATGGAACATATCCGTGCCTACCTAAACCTACCAATGGTTCACCAAATTCCTCTCAGGTGCTCTGGAAGCGTCAGGACCAATTGTTTTTACATGCCATTCTTGCTTCAGTCTCCGAACAAGTTATCTCCTTTATTGCCTCTACCAAGACATCTCAGGCAGTCTGGGACAAACTCATCAAACTATATGCCAACCGAGCCTAATCCTATGATATGAGTATTAATGAATATTTGCAGACCATCAAAGCCATCCTCAATGGTGTTGGCCAGAATTCAAGGAACTAGCAGCCGCTATTTATGCTCGTGAAAGCTTCATCTATTTTGAGGTGATCCATGACAAACTCATTGAGTATGAAGCTGCATTGAAGCGAGAGGATACCAGTAGTGCCCCTTTTGTCATCCACTACAAACGCTCACACTTTGGCAATTCTATGCAACCGAGCCTAATAAAAAATAAAGTCCTCATTCAAAGAACCAGGATATCAAAACAAATTGATACTATTTAAAAAAGAACACAGAATTCAAAAGGATAAATAATAAATAAATAATATTACTGAAAGTAAAAACTAAATAATAAATAAATAATCCTCTGAATGAGTTTAATAATTCCCAAATGTAAAGAATCTTCCAAAATACACCGGAAGAGTGATGAAGAGTAGTCTCTGCACGAACAACATCTAAGCCTGCCACTGGAGGACCTAAAAAATATAACAAAGGTGTCCTACTTAAGACCTATACTGATTTTTACACACTTTGGGCATTTCACTTATGACATGTGGTTGCTGTTACTTACTCACTTTCTATATTGGGATATCATTGAGGCTTTTCTTTCATTAGCCTGAAAAAAGTAAGATTTTTGCCTACTTAAGATCTATATTGATTTTTACACATTGCGATCCAAAATCAAATCTTTCAATTATGTATCTACTTATCAAATCAAAATTTTCAATTATGCATCTACTTATCGTATTTTTGCCCCTGCTCGGTAGTTCCGTAGCAGGTTTTTTCAGATGTTTTCTGGGAGTAGAAGGAACCGCTATAATCACCACTAGGAGAAATCTCGTGTTTTTTTTCAATACTTATTTTAGGCTTGATCTTTCTGTTTCATCTTTATTGTTTTCGTTTGATTTGGGCATTTAACTAATGCAAGTGTGCAATTCTATGCATATGGTTGTTGTTGTTTATTTCACTTTCTATATTCGGATATCATTGAGACTTTTATGACATTAGCCTGAAAAAAGTAGGTGTCGTTCCTACTTAAGACCTATACTGATTTTTACACACTTTGGACATTTCACTAATGCAAGTGTTCCATTCTATGTATGTGGTGGTTGTTGTTTACTTCACTTTCTATATTGGGATATCATTGAGGCTTTTCTATCATTGTTATGGCTGTTGTTTGGAGTGGATTGCACTTGTGCTTTTACATTGAAGTAAAGGACTAGACATTTGCTGTTGACAGATGTTGGAAAAGAACTAGACATTTGCTTCCTTCAATAATGCTAGAGAACGTAGTTATGGGAAAATTGTGGCGATTTTTTTTTTATTTTTTAGTGTAATACTTAATGTTGATTCTAGGTTGCTGACTTTACTCTTATAGGATGCTGTTTGCATATTTGGACTTCCTTTTTGTCTTGATTTTTTCCTTTTCAGATTCGAAAACAAATGAAGATTAATGTTCATATGACATTTTTTTCTTTTAAAATATATTTGGCAACCTACAATACAGTTTATGTTTCAAAGAAGTGTTGAGTTTGTGGCTCAAAATTTGTATGCAAAAAATTAGTTTCCTCTTTCGTTTTGAAAGGTTGAAATTTGTAGAGGAAAGTGTATCTCATTATGTTTCTATTTTAGAGTTTTGATCATCATGGTAACTTCTTATAGGCAAGTTGAGGAATACTTGTCCAATAAGGAATTGAGTTTGAAGACTCTATAAAT